AGAAAACAGCCTGAGTTGTGTCATCCTGCAGATGAGAAAGGGCTGGGAAGGGTTGCCATGGGCAGGGACACCTTCCCCTAGCCCAGGTTGCTCCAGCCTGGCCTTCAAAACTGGAAAGGAAATGGAAGTGCAAAAAAATCTAAACTCTCTTTTGTCCTGGAAACAAAAGAACAAGGAGAAATATTTCCCTTCTCAGCTCTTTGTGGGTTCTGTGCAAATACAGTCAGGGGGATGAAGCTGAGCCCTGAGCCAAGGGCTCCTTCCTGGGCTGAGCTGGGGGGATTTGGGGCTGGCACCAGGTTGGATATTTTCAATCACACGTGTCTGAAGTGCAGCTTCATCCCTGCATCCAGGTTCCATGAGATGTGTGGATAAAGGGCTGATGGGTGCAGAGGGTGCAGGAGCTCTCCCACACCAGATCATGGAATCACAGAATCTTGGAATGGTTTGGGTTGAAAAGGATCTTAAAATCATCTCATTCCCACCCCTTCCATGGGCAGGGACACCTTCCACTGGCCCAGGTTGCTCCAAACCCTGTCCAACCTGGCCTTGGACACTTCCAGGGATTCAGGGGCAGCCACAGCTTCTCTGGGCAACCTGTGCCAGGGCCTCCCCACCCTCACAGGGAAGAATTTCTTCCCAGTTTCTCACCCAAATCTCCCCTCTGTCAGCTTAAAGTCATTCCCCTTTGTCCTGTCTCTCCAGGCCCTTGGAAACAGTCTCTCTCCATCTTTCCTGTAGCTCCCTCAGGTCCTGGAAAGCCACAATCAGGTCACCCCAGACCCTTCTCCTCTCCTCTGGGATTGGCTGACCAATCCCAGCTCTCCCAGCCTTCCCTCCCAGCACAGGAGCTCCATCCCTCTGCTCATCCTGCTTTGCTCTGTGGCCATTGGGAGCAGCTGATTTGAAAACCATGGAAAGAAAAGTGATTTCCTCTCCCAGCCAAGCTGCAAAGAGCCAAGCCAAGGTTCATCCAGGCAGGGATGAGTGAATCCAGCTCCTTCTTCTCCGAGAAGGCTTCCAGAAAATCAGAGCAGGCTGCTTGTGCCTCCCATGGGAGTGACCCGGGGCTGCTCAGCAGTGACCAAGTGGGAAGATCTTCCCTCGTTTCTGCCGCCGGCAATTCAACAATTTGACAACAGATGGGCCTGTAATTACAGCCCGTTTGAGAGCTCTTTAATGCACTGATTTGAAAGGCATTGATTTTCCTTCCTCCAGAAGGAGGATAACAAAGAGAAGGGAAAACATCTCCACCTCCCCGTGATTCCCGCTGCCTGCGTTTCCTCGGTGTGTTCCGCAGGCAAAGTGAAAACATTCGGCTCCAGCCAAGCTGGGAATGTCATTGAATGGAGTCACTGTCTCCCCCAGTCAGGAGCTGAGCTGAAGCTCAGTGTTTGCTGTGAGCAGAACACCAGTCAATCGCTAAAGAAATAAAATAAAAGGAGAAATAAAAGTTCCCGCTGCACGCGGGGTCGGCGGGAGAAGCAGAAGTGGGAAGCTCAGTGCCATGGCCGGGGCTGGGGAGGAGCAGAGCTGATGGATATCTGCAGGCAGCCTGGGCTGAGGCAGCAAACACATCCATTTATTTCTATGGTAACAGGAATAACTCAGGGCTACAGTGGAACCCAAATCTCAGCTGGATTTGAGAACTCCGAGTGAGGAGCTCTCAAACTCGAGGGTTTGATTTTAAAGCAACAACCCCAGAGCTCTTCCCCTCTACCTGTTTTGGTTTTTTCTCAAACTGGTAAAGAGAAAAAAAAAATCCTGTTTAAAATCCTGAGAGAAAACCCACGGAACAACCTTCAGGCAAAGGTTGGAGCCGAGTCTTGGGAGCCACAGCTTGGCTTGTTGGGCTGGGCTGGACATCTTCACAAGGCCATCCTGCACTTTGGGAATGAGGAATGGACACATCTCCCAGAGCCATCTGTTTAACCAGGAACACAATTCCCTCTTTGCCAATGCCTCGGACTCCCATTTTTAAAAATAAAGCTTCTCCTTCACCGCTTGGGAAGATTTGGAAGCACCAAGGACTCAGTTTCCAGCCTGGCAAAGTTATGCAGATTTGCCTGGTTTCCAAGACTGATTTCCTTGGGTTTGATCTTATTCCTCTTGTGCTTGTGAAAAATTCTGGGTCTAATCCTTTGCACACAACCAGTTTTTAGAGCAATGGCCTCAGAAACATCCTCTGCTCCTTCTCAGTTTCTCTGTTCTTCTGAGGTTAAAAGGTATCTTGATTGTGCTGCTCCAGCCCCTCTAATCAGAGGAAATCCAGCTCAAGGACCTTGGATTTCAACACCTCCCTCTAGTCCAAGCCAGGCTTGGCCCCAGCTCTCTCTCCCACTCCTGATTCCTGGCTCAGCAGCACTCAGTCCCTGTTCCTTGCTGCCAAGTTCACCAGGAGAGGCTGCTGACACAAGTTCCCCAGGAGTTCTTCCTTCTAAAAATATGGATCACAGCTCCTCCTTTCTTCTTCAGCTGCATTTGGACGAGGCAGTTTCCACGAGGCAGGAGGAGCTTCCCAAGGATCCTGTCCCCACAGCTCCCTGGGAGCTGGCACTTCCCCCGTGTCCTACATGCACTGGTTTAAACTGGGTTACTCCCATGATGTGTGTCAGCACTTCCATCATCATTCAACATTCCCGCGGGAAAACCACCATCCAGGGGTCATGTTGGGACACGGAATTCCTGTGTGTGACAAGGACTGGCAAGATAAAGACACTTGTGCCCGAGTTAGGGCTGTTCCAAGGGGGTTTTCACAGGATGGGTCAGGTTGGAAGGGACATCAGTGGGTCCCTGCTCCAGCAGGATCATCCCAGAGCACATGGACTGTGTCCAGAGGGCTCTGGAATATCTCCACTGAGGAGACTCCACACTGTCTCTGGTCTCTGTTCCATGCTGGGTCACTGCAGAGGGGGGAAGTTCTTCCTCATGTCCAGGTGAAACTTCCCAGGTTCCTCCTGTGCCATTGCTGGGCCCCTGGAGCAGATCCTGCTCCATCCTCTGCCCCCTCCCTGCAGACCCTGCTGGATGTGGCTGAGGGCCCCTCTCAGGGTCTCCTCTGGAGGATGAACATTCCCAGCTCCCTCAGCCTGTCCTGCTCCCAGAGATGCTCCATCCCTTCCTCATCCCTGGAGCTCCAGGAGCTCCCTGTCCTGCCGTGCTGAGGAGCCCAGAGCTGGGCCCGGCCCTGCAGCTGTGCCTCCCCAGGGCAGGATCCCCTCCCTGACCTGCTGGGAATGCTCTTCCCGTGCATCCCAGGATTCCGCTGGCCTGCTGGACCGCAACAACACCCACCAAGGGTCAAACAAACCAAAATACTGCAGTTTGAGGCTTTTAGGCCAATATTAGACCTCTCCCCTCTCCAGAACGTCAACACAAAAAGGTGTTAGAAACACACACATTATCCAGCTATAAAATATTACACACAGCAAAAAGGACAGACCCAGGAGAGTTAAAAATAAAAGACAACTGTCACATCACTGTGGTGTGACATCCTCCACACACTGACCCTCCCCAGCACAAACCTGAGCCACCACCCTTCCCGTGCACCCCTGAAGGTCTGGGTGCCCCTCCTGCCCATCTGGGCCCACCCCTGGGGGTGCCAGGAGTTCTTTTTCCTGCCCTGTTTATCCTGTGGTTGGTGGAGCTGCTCTCTGCCCTCTGCCCAGGGCATCAGTCACTAAAAGCACCGGGACAAGGAGTGCTCTCACATTGTCTCTTTGCTCCCTTCCTTCAGCTGTTGACTCGAGTGGGTAAAGAATTCAACAAGCCTTGAGGGCTTTGGAGAATCCTGCCTCTATCCCAGCACAGACCCCGGGAAAATGACTTTTGCCAAGGTGTTTATTTAGAAGAAAAGTGCTGTTTTCTTCCGGGAACCTCAGGGACCACCGTGTTCTCTCAGCAGCGTTTCACGTCTCATAAATGCTAATAAAATGCTAATAAAATATTGGAGGGTAATTCTTAAATTAACCCCGTTCTGATTCAAGCTGATGTTCCCAGTGGGGCTGTTGCACTCCCATTTTGCTTGGCACGTTTCCAGAGGAGGTGATCAAAATCTCCTCTTCCTTTTCTGTTTATCAGCCCCACTCTATTTTTATCAGATGACTCTCCCCATTGTCATGGCGAGAGAGGACCAGAGTCTGAGTTCAATTTAGCAATACATGACCATAAATACATCAGCAGATTGAATTACAGGCTGACATGCCAAAAGCAGCTCTCTCCTTCGCTTTTTTTTTTTCCCCTGCCTTCACACGTCTGACTCAATCACAGGTCTCTAATTGAAAAGCCTCGGCAGTGCATGAAGTTCATATCCATTATGAGGAAGCACGATGCCCTGGGAATGCTGATGAGTGTCTGGCAGGGCTGGGGAGCTCTGAGCTCTGTAACCACCCGGCCCTGACCCCCCTCACGAGTGAGAGAGCAAAGCAGCGTAAGTGCCACTGGTACTGGTGTTTACAGATGTAACAGCAGAGGGAGGGTGCAGGGTGGAGAGGGCAAAGCTCTGCACGACTTTTATTCCACTTGTTGCCTTTCAAAATACTCAAAATTCCAAATATTTCACCCTCTTCCTGCCCAGCAGAACCCCAGGCAGGTTAGGAGGGAATAAATCCAACGCAGCCTGGATGTTTAGCCCTTATCTTTCCACTAGACAGTAATTTTCGGGTCTGACTCGCAGCCAGCTGGAGTAAAACCTCCCCACATGGGACTGCAGCTCTCCGCGGAGAGGCAGGATGCGAGGGCGACCCTGGCACTCGGTCTCCCCTTCTGCTCAGGGACAGGAGCATCAAATAACTGTGCCGAAGATGTCAGATCCTCGTCGCTGCCCCCGGAGGAGCCCGCGGGCTCGTGTGCCGTGTTTGGGGGGAGCAGCAGCGAGTCCCCGCGCTCGGGGAGGGGGCTCGCTGAGGACCAGCCCGCGGGAGCCTTTAAAAGGACTTGTCGGGGCTGGAAGGAGCTCAAACAGGGGAGGAAATGCGGGTCTCTCCTCTCGGAGGGCAGTGGGGGCTCCGGCCCCTCCCGGGAGCAGAGCGGAGCCCGCACCGGGCCGGGGGGGCTGCGACCCCCGGGCTGCGGGGTCGGGGCAGAGCGGCGGGAGCGGCAGAGCCAGGTAAGGGCATCCCTGGGATTGGGGAGGGGGGCACGGGCACGGGAAGAGGGGCAGAGACATAGGGAGGGGGGCAGAGACATCACAAGGGGGGCACAGACATAGAGAGGGGGCACAGACGTGGGAAGAGGGGCACAGACATAGGGAAGGGGTACGGACATGGGGAGGGGGGCAGAAACTTGGGAAGGGGGGCACAGGGAGGGGGGCACAGACACGGGGAGAGGGCACAGACGTGGGGAGGGGGCACAGACACGGGGAGGGGGCACAGACGCGCCGGGGGGGATCATCGGGCAGAGCATCCCGGCGCAGCGCTCCTGCCTCCCGCTCCCTCGGCTCCCACCCTCCCTCCCGAGTTCCCGACGGGGGGGTGGCCCCAGGGCCGCTGCTCCCCCGGCCGGGAGCCCCGTCCCTCCTCCCCGGGGTGGGGGGAGCGGCCCCGTCCCCGCCCGCCGCCGCAGGGACGCGCGGGGAGCGCTCCCGGAGCGGGGCTCCAGCCGCGGCTCGGGGGGGGAGCGGGAGCATCCTGACTCCAGAGGGGAGAGGAGCCCCTGGAGCTGCAGGTAACGACCCCCGGGGGAGACGGGAGCAGCGAGCGGGGCTGGGGGAGGAGGGAGGCGGCGATGGGGGGAGAGGAGGGAGGATGGGGATGGGGCAGGCGAGGGGTCGCAAAGCGCTTTTGGGGGCTCGCTGCGGTGAATGAGGCACCGGAGCCATCGGTCCCGCTCGTGGCCACCCCGAGTTTGCCCTTCCGAGGGGGCTTTCCATGCGGAGTGACCCCTTCCTGGCTGGAGGGATGGTGTGGGGGGGAGATGGGGGTGACCCGTCCTGGCTGGAGGGATGGCAGGGAGGGACCCGCTGGAGACGGGGGTGACCCGTCCTGGCTGGAGGGACCCCGGGGAGGGTCCCGCTGCCGGGTGGAGGACGCGGTGTTTGAAGCGGGAGCAACCTCAGCGCGGCTTGGAAGCTCCAAAGGGGTGAGAAAGGCACCCGCGGGAGGGATGTGCGGGCACAGCCCGGCGCTGCCCTCCCCAAAAAGGTGCGAAAGCCCTGGATGTGCCCAGCCCGCAGAGATGGGGCTCAGCCATCCCAGGGGGGCCGGAGCTGAGCGCAGGATGCTCCTCTCCGATCCAACACGGGGGGCTGGAATTGCTCCAGGGTGGGCAGCAGGACGCGGATGTCAAGGTCGAAGCGGAGCCCTGGGGGTCAGCGCTGCTCTGGGCTGGGAGCAGCTCCGTGTGTCCCTGTGCTGGCTCCAGGCGGCTCCCAGAATTCCCAGATCCGGGCACAGCTTGTTCCCGGTGCCCAGAGGTCTGCGCTGAAGAGCAGGGAAAGAACAACCCGGCTCAGGTGTTTTGGACTTGCAGGTTGTGTTGGGGTGGACTAGAGAGCTTTTGGAGTTTTTGAGGGAGGAGACGTGCGGGTTCCACCAGGCAGCCTGTTCCCGGTGTGCTGGGAGCAGTCTGGGAGTGCTGGGGTGGGAAATCCCAACTCCTGGGCACGCTGGCACCAGGACTTGGTGGCTGGGGTGGATCTGCACTGCTGGTGTGGGGTTTATCCAAGCCAGAGACCCCACACCTTGGAAGTTCCTCCCCAAGGCTCCTCTTCTGGAGCTGCTTCACTTCTTACAGCAAGAGAAGCTGTTCCTGAGCTCCTTCCAACCCGGGGCTCTCCTCGAGCCAAAGGGATCCGTGGCTGTTCCAGCTCTTCCCCAGCCTGGAAGCAGACACAGCCCGTAGTCAGAGCTCCCCAACTGCCCTGTCTTTGAGCCTCTCATGTCCCTGAGACCAGCTGATGTTTGGATTTGGATGAGCTGGATTACAGAGGAGAGGGCTGGAAGAGAAGCATTTTGATACAAACCCCTGCTGATGGTGATGGACCAGGGCTGGAGCTGGATTTTGGAAGGTCATCCCAGCCCGGGGAGGGCACAGAGATGTCGGCTCCACACCTTCCTCTGCCTGAAGCTGCTGAAATCTGGGAGCAAAACCAGCAGCAGGTGATTTCCAGGACTGTCTGTGTGGCAGGACCAGCTCAGCCCGAGTGAGTAACCCCTGAGCAAAACAGAGCCTGAAGTGTGCTCGGGGAAAGAAAGGACTCAGCAAATATTTGGCAAAAGCAGAATTGTTTTATGGGCTGTTTGTTTGCAAACTAAAAATAGGAGCAAGTTACCAGGTCGTGTCTCCTCAGGGTGCTCTAGGAAACGCTGGGCTGGGGTGACCAGGGACATAACCAGGTGTTGTCAGCTTGAAAATGTGGTTTTTAAAGATTTTTCTACTGCTAGAAGTGGTAAGAAGTCATTCAACTTGGACTTCAGCTGATCAGTGTTTAGCACCAACGCAGTTAATCCAAAGAGAGAAGCAATTTAGGGCGAGACAGTTGGTTTGTTGTGTGTTCTGTAGGGAAAAATCAATCCCTCCAGGTTTTTTTTGAGCGAGAAACACGCCCTGAGAAACATCAAATGGCAGATTTGAATGGGGAGGAAGTTCCCATCTGAACTGATTCATTCTGCTTTTCAACCCCAGGTGGTGGAACAGGGTTGGGAGAGGGGAAACCAAGAATGTTACATATGGAACAATGAGATTTGTGTGCTTTTAGGCAGCTCCTGGTTTAGTCCCAGCACACGGTGACAACTGCCAGGAGGTGAAGGAGGTCTCACCACGATGCTGCATCTCCCTCCTGCTCACACAGAGCCTTCCCTGGGGGTGTTATTTCAGAGCTGCTCTTCCAGGTCACACCAACTTTCACACCATCTCCCTCCCCTTCCAGCAGCAAAACCCTCAGCTCTGCCTGCTGGATCCATGAAAACGCCAGGAATGTGGCCCCTGGGCTGTATTATGGGAAGCAACAGGTGATGAACACTCAAAAGGGCAAATTTACTGAAGGACCAAGAGAGTTTTCTTTGCTTTATTACAGCAGATTATTACAGCAGATTACTCCACTGACAAATCCATGGGGTGGGAAGATCTTGACTCCTAAAATGAGGTTTCTTTCTGGGATGGGAAAACCCTACGAAGTTCTGTTGCCAGCACATAATTCTTGGAGAAATATCCAGCTGCTTTTCTTCCCATTACACCTTAGAATCCCTGTTTTCAAAGCCTGTCCCTCTGGGTTCCCATTTTGGCTGTTATTCCTGGTCCTCCTGCACCTGGGAGCAGCAATTTGCCATCCTGTTGTTGTAATTCCATTCACAGCAATTACGGTCGGTGCTGCATAAGAGAGTTATGATTCCAGCAGTAAATAGGCAGCGAGATCAAATCTTGACTCATAAAATTAGGTTTCTTTCTGTAATTCCTGCTTGATCCCAGCTCCACTCTCATGCAATGCACTCCAGAGGGTTATTTTTGCTTTGCTATTGCAACCACAGCCAGGCAGGATTTCAGCCTTCATCTGGCTGGGCATTTTTAAGGTTTGTTCTTCCTTAGGCTGTGATGGTTTTCAGTCACTGATGGGCTCTGTGATGTTGGATCCTCACTCTGTTGCCCAGCAAAATTACATGTATTCAGGATACCTGCTAGAGAAGTTTTCACTAATTTCTGAGCAGGATGGGCTGTGCTATAATCCCTCTTTTCTTTCTCCCCTCATTATGGCAGGGACATGGACAGTCAGATGTGTTCAGCTGCAGTGGATGCTGATTTTTTTTTTTGCCCTGACAAAGGAGAATTTGGAATGATATCATTGGTTACTCTGGGTCTGTGTTCTTATCTCCTTTCTGGTTTGTGTGTTTTAAGCAGAAAGCCCATAATTTATGGACTGTGCCAGTGGGGTGGCTTGGAGATCAAACACCAAGGGGAAAAAAATCTGGCTGAGAACAAGTGCCCTGGAGGGGATGTGTTTTATTAATCCACTAATTAAGAACACCCAAACAAGGCTATCAGGTATCAGTCAGCATGTCTTAATTATGTTTAGTCATCCTTTGGGGAGGTTCATGGCCGTTGACTGCTGGAGTGACAATGTGAGCACAGGCAGAATGGGGCAAGTTGTGAGATGGACAGAGGGACAAATCCTCTGTGCTCACCCAAAACAGCCAGAAAAACATCATCTGCAGCTGTCCAGGTTTTCTTTTGTTGTTGCCATATCATTAAAAAAAACCCCAAAATACCAGTGGCTACAAGGGAGGGAGGTTTCCATGGCTGAGTGGATAAAACAAGGAATGGACACTTGAGGTGTGGGCTCAGTTTTCAGATCTGGATGACTTTAAGCACATCACATCCTCACATGGGGATGTTCAGGTGTTGTTAAAAAAAACCCTCCCAACCATTTACAGCTTTAAAATGGTCCTTTTCACCTCTGGCTTGGATTTGGGTTGGAATAAGATGATGTGGAGCTTTTCCTGCCATCCCAGCCCCCCTGGATCCCTGATTTCCCTGCTCCATCTCCTCCCAGCCGTGGAGTGACATGTGAGACACCTACTCCCCATCTGCACGTTTCCAAATCAGAGCAGCAGATCTGTGATTACAACTGGGAGCTGGAGGGACTTCTCCTCTTCCCCCACTGCAGTTTTTCTCACCCCAAGAGAAAAAGCCCAGCAACAGCCGTGGAGGTGGTTTTGGATTCCTCCTGGAGACAAGGAGGTTTTCGTGCTGCAGTGATGCACAGTTTGCTTGGGCTCGAAAGGCATGGATGCAGAGTGGGCTGGGTGTTTGGGAATCCAGCTTCCTGCCCCCGGATTATTATGGAAATGTGACCATCAGGTGATGGCAACAAAGGTTGCTGAGCACAACCTGCTTGAGCACCTCCACCGAGGTTCGTTGTGAGACTCGGGAGAGACCTCGTGGTTTAAATCTGCAACTTTTTTAGAGCAAATGCTTTCAAGTTTCTCTGGAGAAATGCTTTATAAACACCTACTTGGACAAAAATACGAAAAAATATTCCTGTGAATCAAGCCCAGCAGAGAAACAGGGCATTGGAAATTCTCAGCCTCTTGCAGAATGTCTATTAAAACCTCTCCTGCCACCCCCTCTGCTCAGCTGTGCCCTGCAGTGCCCACTGCAGCTTGGATTTCTGGCAGAATAAAGGTGTTTCTCGGCCACAAAGTACAGTTCAGGTGAGAGGAGAGGGATTGGAAACACTGAGAGAAGAACAGTCTTGAGAGATGGAACAGGAGGGGGTTGTTCCTCTCCATCCCAGCCTGTCTGTGCCTCATCCTGATCCACAGAGAAGGGAGCTCAGCCATGGCCCTTCCCACCTTGGAGCTCATGGGCTTTTTCCCAGGGGTTTTGTCGTTGTCATGGAGGGTTTAGTTCCCCAATTCCACATTGCTGGTGCTCCCTGGGGGTTCTCCAGTGGCTCTGCCAGGCAATAAGTGGCACTTGAATCCATCAGACTGATGTTTTCATGCAAACAGGGAGACCTGGAAACATAAGAGCAGAGCTTCTGACCCCAAGAGCTGGGAAGTGCCTTTGGCTCTGGGCTGGGCAGGAGTGAGGTGGGGTGGAGTCATCCCTGAGCCCCCCCCAGGTCACCTCAGTGACAGCAGAACTGCCCCAAATGGGACTTTAAACTCTCAGCAGCAATGCAGGGCTCTGCTCTCAGCCTGCTCCATGTGTGCTCCTCAGAGCCCTTCCAAATTCTACTCCAACAATTCCTCTATCAGATTTTAGACAGAAAATTAAGGGTAAAGGTGGCCTTGTGGACTTCACAGAATCATGGAATGGTTTGGGTGGGGAGGAACCTTAAAGCTCAACCAGTCCCACCTCCTGCCATGGGCAGGGACACCTTCCACCATCCAAGGTTGCTCCAAACCCCATCCAACCTGGCCTTGGACACTTGCAGGGATGGGGCAGCCACAGCTTCTCTGGGCAACCTGTGCCAGGGCCTCACCACCCTCACAGGAAAGAATTCTTTCCCCATGTCTAAACTAAACCTATTCCCTTTCAGTTTAAAGCCCTTATTCCTTGTCCTATCACCCCATGACCTTGCTAAAAGACTCTCTCCTTTTTCCAGGCTGGGAAGTGTTGGTATTCTCAGCCCAGCTCCTGGATATCCCAGAAGAGGCCATTGGCTCACAGAGAGTGAGACACTCAAATGGGGAAAGTTTTTTGCAAAACCTCCTATTTCTTATCAGCAGAGGAAGGACTGGCCTTGTTACAGCAGGTTTTGGACCCAAACAACCACATGCCAGGGCATCCCAACTCCTTCTGCCTCAGGCTGGGAAGCTCGATGGCCTCACCCTCTCCCCTCTCCCCCGTGTTTCCCAGCAGGATTCCTGCTGTTCCCGTGTAACTGTTGTGCAGCCTCCCATCTTTATGGTTCCATCCACCTCTGCCTGGATCCTGTGAAAATGAAACAGATGCCAGCAGCTCCTGGGATGAGCCCTGAGCTCTCCCACTGTGCAATACCTTTGTCCAGGCATTGATCTCACACGCTCACTGCATAATTCCAACACAAATCCTGAACCTGGAGAGAAAATTAAATGATGTGTCAAACTGAACGTTCTGTGAATTCACTCCTTCTCTCTTTTTTCTTCCCCTTCAAATTTTCTTTCTAGGAACAAGATGCCCATGAAGTTTAACCTCCTTTAGCCTTAAAAACTAAAAAGTTATGGATCCTTTGTACTTTTCCAACGCGTTCGGTGCCGAGGGCGGTTCCGGCGGCGGGAATTCCTCCCTGCTGACGAACACGACGGAGAACGGGACCCTCCCGGAGCAGCCCCCCTTCAAGTACGTCCACAAAGTGCTCATCCCCATCTGCTACCTCCTGGTGTGCGCCGTGGGGCTCAGCGGGAACACGCTGGTCATCTACGTGGTGCTGCGTCACGCCAAGATGAAAACCGTCACCAACATCTACATCCTCAACCTGGCCGTGGCCGACGTGCTCTTCATGCTGGGCCTGCCCTTCCTGGCCACCCAGAACGCCATCTCCTACTGGCCCTTTGGCTCCTTCCTCTGCAGGCTGGTCATGACCGTGGACGGCATCAACCAGTTCACGAGCATCTTCTGCCTGACGGTGATGAGCATGGACCGGTACCTGGCCGTGGTTCATCCCATCAAATCCACCAAGTGGAGGCGGCCCAGGGTGGCCAAGCTCATCAGCGTGACCGTGTGGACATTCTCCTTCTTGGTGGTGCTTCCAGTCATCATCTTCTCGGACGTGCAGGAGGACTTTCAGACCTGCAACATGAACTGGCCGGAGCCCGTCAACATCTGGTCGGCGGCTTTCATCGTCTACACCTCGGTCCTGGGCTTCTTTGGGCCTCTGCTGGTGATCTGCCTCTGCTATTTGCTGATTGTCATCAAGGTCAAGTCGTCAGGGGTCCGGGTGGGGTCTACGAGGCGCAGGAGATCGGAGAGGAAGGTGACCAGGATGGTGGTGATCATCGTGGTGGTCTTCGTGCTCTGCTGGCTCCCCTTTTACACCATGAACATCGTCAACTTGATATTCATCCTGCCAGCAGACCCCGTGCTGGAGGGCTTGTACTTCTTTGTGGTGGTGCTGTCCTATGCAAACAGCTGTGCCAACCCCATCCTTTACGGGTTCCTCTCTGACAACTTCAAGCAGAGCTTTCAGAAAGTCCTTTGCCTGCGGAAGGGCAACGGCGTGGAGGACGGGGAGCCCGTGGAACACAGGCAGGAGAACAGCAGCCGCCTGCAGGAGTCCATGCTGACCCAGAGGAACGTGGAGTTCAACGGCCACATGCAGACCAGCAAGGTCTGAGGGCGTGGGTTGGGGCTGCAAAGGGCTGGTGGAGCTGGAGAACTTGGGGGGCCTCGAGGAGAGATGAATTCGTGGCAAAGGTGAAAGGTGGAGACCCACAGGCTCCAGTAAATGTACATAGAGGTGGCTTCACTCCCCTCCCTTCCCCAGCTCGGAGTGGTAGGGGCCGTGCTGGGCTGTGGCCAAGCTCTCGTGGTGACCTGGGTCATGTGGGACCACTTTGGGTCCTCTGGAGATTTCCAGGCTTTGTACTGCCCTAGTGATGCAAAACCACACAAAATCAGTTTTAACCACCTTGTTAAGCTGGGCTTGTGGCTGCTCTGCACTGTTGGGAGCAGCTCAAAGCAGAAAACAGCTCAGACAGTGTCTCTGAGATCCTTCAAGGGGATCTCTTACGAGAAAAATGCTGTTTCTTAAGAGTTTCATACCCAAAAGGCCCCAGCACTGACCTCAGAGCTGTGCATGAGCCATGGTTGGAACCTGCTGGGTGCTCCTCCTGCATTGGTTTGCTGTCATGAACCCACCTAAGGGATTCATGGTGCCCAGGAATCCTTCAAACACACCAAGAATGAGGAAAAAAACCCCATGATTAGGAAGACCTAAATCCTAAACAGGTCTAAATCCTAAAGAATTCAGTGTATTCATGATGTTCTCACATTCTAACCCAAAGTGCATAGAAAACGTGATGTGACCACTCTGTTGTTCTGTCAGTGCTGATCATTGTGAAGTCCTGGGGAGCTGTCGTGTGTATTTATTGGTTCTGAATGTCAGTCTGGACGTGAATATAAACTGTATTTTCAGAAATTAAAACAAGTTCAACCCCCCTCCTGGCTGTGGTTTAGTTGGCAGGGTGGGGTTTGCTCAGAGGCTGGATCTTGGAGGGCTTTGCCAGCCCTTGAGGACTCTGGGATTCTATTCCTGCCACACACATGAGAGCACAAGAACTCACCTGATACAATGAGGGACAACTGCAGGATCCAAATCTCACTCCAAATCCCAGCACAGTCAGGTTGACTCTGATTAATTAAGTCACCCACTATCTATTATTTCAGGAATTATCAGGCTGTTGCAGGCATAAATCAACTTCTTATCAGTCCTTGAGACACGTGGAGTAATTAGTGCAGGCCTTGATGTCCTCCCTGCCAGCTCCATCTGCCTGCAGTGGGTTTGCCATGAGTTCTCCATTGATGGGATTAGAAAAACCCATTTTAGCTCCCAGCTCGTTTGGGAAGTGGCAGTAATTAATAATTAATAATTAATGCTCCCGTGGAGGGAGGTGCCCCGTGGGTGCAGCGCTGGGGACTCGCTCTGCAGAGCACAGGGATGGAGAATTCCAGTTGCTGAGTAAATCTGTGGCATTGTCCACCCCCAGCCTGATCCTCTGGAGCAGCTGAGCTCTTTTAAACTTAAAGAGGAGAGGTTTAGGCAGGATATTAGGAAGGAATTCTTCCCTGTGAGGGTGGAGAGGCCCTGGCACAGGTTGCCCAGAGAAGCTGGGGCTGCCCCTGAATCCCTGGAAGTGTCCAAGGCCAGGTTGGATGGGGCTTGGAGCAACCTGGGCTAGTGGGAGGTGTCCCTGGGGGTGGGATGAGATGAGCTTTAGGGTCCCTTCCAACCCAAACCACTCTGCGATTCTGTGAATTTGGGGTTAGACAAAACCACCAGCAGACTCTGAGTGGTTTGAGGACTTGGCAGACCCAAAATGTCCTTCCAGACATTTCATTCCAGGATCAGACCCCCCTTTTAGACATCTCATGCTCTCAGGCACATGGTGGGAGTGTCACATTATTGTGGTGGCACCTTGAGTGGCACATTATTGGGGTGTCCTGTGCAGGGCCAGGAGTTGGACTGGATGATCCTTGTGAGTCCATTCCAGCTCAGGGTATTCCATGATTCTATGATCTTTCAGACTGTCAGATCCACAGGGACTTGGTGTTACTTCACCAGATAAAAATAAAAGCCCCTCATTGCAATAAGTCACACACCTGGAGATGAAATAATATAATGAGGAGCAGATGGAAGAATAAATCCCAGAGCCAAAGAAAATGAACCCCCTCGTCTGTGGATCAGGTAAAACACAGAAGAACACTCACAAAACTCAAGTAAAAATCGGCAGAGTTGAAGTACCAGAGATTTCTGGATAATCTCTTATTTGCTCTTCAGGGAAGAAGCAAATATTTATTTCAATCCTCTCTGAGCACGGGAGAGCTGGAGAGGTGAGATGAGTGAGGAGCCAGGGGTTTATGGCTCTGTCACCTTCATCTGGGGCAGCATCAGGAGACATCTGTGTAAAAATGACCTGGGGCATCAGGGATCCCCTGTTTTCCTTTCCATGGTGATTTTAGAATGTGCTGGACAGGAAAACCAACAGCATTTCACAGTAAGACTTTCACAAACATTGAAGTTGTGTTAACAGGAGCATCATCTCTTGCCACAGAGGAGATTTTAGTGCAGACTCTGAGGGCTTTGTGTGCTCAGAGAAATGTCTCAGTTCCCTCCTCTGACTCAGAGTCAGGTTGTGTGGAGTCACCACGGGATCATCTCTCGTGGTCTTCAGCTTTGTGCTACTGAGATTTCGCCTTCATTTCCTTCTATTGAACCATTTTGGGCTAAGTTTACAAGTTATGAACCGATTGAACCAATCTCCAAACCTTATTTCGTATTTTCTGGGTCCTAAAAAGTCTTTTCTTCCCAAGTAAACTGGCTGTTGTTTATGATGGTGACATGCAAAGCTTGTCCAAGCCTGGGCTGTTCTCAGCCCCCAACTCGGTGCCCAAGTGGCAGAACTGTCCCCTTGGGGACACAGAGGCTTCAGCCCCTCTGGAACACCCACTGGCACATCCCCTCCAGCCCTGGATCTTACTCCTACACTAAGATTGAACAAAAGTGGAGCCAATCAGTGCTGATTTTGGTGTGCAACCCCCTTTGCAGGCCCTGATGAAGGGTTATCCTTCACTAATCACCTGGATTTTGGTGCTCTGACCACCAGTGATGACCAGAAAGACTCAAGGGAAGCTGAAAAGCACAATCCATGTGCTGATCAACCCAAGGATCCTCTTTGCCTTGATTTCAGCCCTGAAGATTAACTCCTTGCAAGCAAGAATGACACCTCTGAATTCCTTCCTAATTCCTCTCTTGATTTACAGCACGACTTGCCTTCTATTAATTTTCCATAAACCCCCAAAGAAACCACTTTAGGCTTGTGTGCAGAGTGTACCCATGGGACTGAAAAGAGCTTTCCATTAGGGTAATGACTGATTTGTTTTCTAATTTCCCAAGAATCACAACTAATTTTATTTCCTGAGCGGGCAGCGGCTCTCGGGCCCCAGGGAACGGGTAAATGTGCCTTTGCAGAAGGAATTCTTGTTTTGCAAACACATTGCACTTAATGAAATCCATTCCCACAGAAACAGGGGCAACTGAAGAGGAAGGGATGACTCCAACCAGTGAGGAAAAGCTTCTGCTCTCGGTGTCAACTTGTGGCCTCACAGATCTTGGCTCAGCTCCTGATTTTAACCTGACAGGTTTGATGTGAGGTGGGCTCTGATTCCCCTCGGTTTTCCACCTCTAAAACCAACCCAGTGCTTCCTTTCCCACACCTGCACAGAGGAGGGATTTTAAAAGTCCCAGCACAAAGTGCATGTTCGGTGCCAGCACCAAAGTTTTATTAAAACCTCCCAGGAATAGTCACTTTTTATGAAAAGCAGAAGTCCTGGTGCATCAATTTGGCATCTTTGACATAAGTGTCCTTTCCCTAATCCAGGTGGGGGTTTTGCTGGAAAACACAGCCCTAGACAGACAATCAGGTGGCTCTTGTTGACAATGAATCTCCAGAAAATGTGCAGGTTGTCGCTATCTTCTCCAAGAGGGACAACTTGGGAGGGAAACTGGGGCTCAGTGGGGCTCTCTTGGGGCAAAGGGGATGAATTGATCACTCAGAGTGGGTCTTGAGGGAGGATCCAACATGTTCACCTGCCTCCCCCATCAGTGGCATGGCCAGGATGGTGCTGCTGAGCCTGGGGAAGGGCTCAGTGCCACCAAGAGCCCCTTTTCCAACACTCCCAGCCCCAGCAGTGCTGAGGGGGGTGGGAAATGAGCCAGGGAACTTCTACCAGGGCTCAGGGGTTGTGTGTGTGTGGGGGGGGGCAGGCTAGAAACAATATCCTCAATTTATGGCCAAAGTGCAGGTGGTTTGTTCACAGTGACAGAAGGGGAGGGATGAAATCTGGGTGAAACCTCGGGAAATCACTCCCTGAAGCACAGGAAGAAGCATTGCAGTATTTAGCATCCAGCAGGGGGTTTGACACCCTGAATGCTGAAATAGGAATAAAACCCAGGCTGCCAGAGCCTGTCTGAGTCCTCCTGCAGCCAGCCTTGCCCCCATATCTGCTCTGTGTTATCTGCTGGGGTCCCAGCCTTGCCCCCATATCTGCTCTGTGTTATCTGCTGGGTCCCTGTTCCATCACACTCAGCCCTGGCTGTAATTTCCCTCCCTATCTCCGAGCCCTGGGCACATTCCCTGCCCTGGGAGCAGCCCTGGGTGAGCAGGGTGAGCTGTTCTTCCCTCAGGATCTCACTCTGCCCTCCTCAAAACCTTGTCTGATTTACAATGAGAACCAAAAATTTAACCCTTTTTTTCCTCCTCCCTGCAAACCACCCTCACAGCCGGGCACTTCTGGCCTTTTGAGAGGTTTTACAGCCATAGTCAGCTCAGGTTTTACCCTTCACTGGCCTCTTTGGAGATTTGCTGCCATCCCAGAGCAGGAGAATTCCAACCAGAGACCTTCAGTGGGTGAGTTACCAACGTGCCTCTGGCAGGTCGAGCTGATGGCTGATGGCAAACAGCCCTTTCCACAGGATTCCCACAGCCACTGGAATGATTCTGCCGGGGCTTTATACCCAGCCAGGCCTTATCTGGGGAATATTGCCTGATTTCATTCTCTGCCAGCTGGGGGTTGGGCAAAGAAATGATTGACTGTGCTGTGAAAACACAGCAAGGATTAGAAAGTGGCAGCGTGAGCCGTGAGAAATGTGTTGTTTCTGTTGCTAAAATGCCATTAAAAGGCAGAGAAATGTTTTTGCCAAGTTCTCTTCCTATACATTAATAAATTAGGCATGGTTTCATTTGCATTAGAGGAGGTTAAACAGATTGAGCAGAGGACACAGCAGGTTTTAAGACTGACTCATCCTCCTCTCAACCCAGGCACGACCTAAAATACAGGGATGCTCCTTGTCACAGGAGGCCAAAACAACCTTTTCCTTCTTTCCCAGTTTCCTGCCAGATGAAGGCTCAGGAGGACTTTGATCCAATGCAGCCACGGGGGTCAGGATCCCTCCTGGAATTCAGGGCTGGGAAAGGACTGCAAAGCTCAAGCCTGGGGTGCTCAGGTGTTTGTCTTCAGAGGGAAAAGGGAAATACAGGCAGGTTCCCTCCAGCACAGCAATACACTGGATACCATCCACTGCTCCAGGAGGGAAACTCATCCTTGCATTATTATCCCAGTGTTGCAAACTCTCTGCCCCTCTTTGATTCACTCCCAGCCCTGTCTCCTCTGGTCCCAAATCAAGATTAATCTTAATTGTGTCTCCGCTAACGAGGCTCTCAGAGTTTATTAAACGGGCTTTTGTGTTCCTTAATTGAAAATCTCAGTGCAGAGGTCTCGGTGCTGCTCCTGGATGAGCTGCTGTGGGAGGCTGAGAGTCTGTGCCAGGGCACAGTGACACCCCTGTGGTGCCACTGCTCTGCTTCCCAGCTGCTGCTCTGGGAGGAGAATGCTGGGAAGTTGGTCTCCAACACGATGGTTCTCTTGGGAGGACGGTGGGA